CACAGCTGTGTGTGCGCAGGAGAGGGAAGCACAGCGTAGGGTTACACTTCCTCCCCTTCCTCCCAGGCGTGGCACGGTGGGGTGCTGCCCTCCCCAAATCCCAGCGGTCGTTTCCTGTTTCATGGCCCTACGGGCGCCGCTTCACTGCGCCTTTCAGCCCCCTGCTCCTGCACCTTCCTCCTCCTCCGCTGCCCACCTTCCCTCTCCCTTCTTTGCAGCTCTTCTACTTGTGCACCGACGTCTGCCAGCAGACGGCCGCGAAGGATTCCCGGGTCTTGGGGAAGGACATCTGGAACATCTTCTTGGACAGGAACGCGGTAAGGGCAGGACTCGGCTCCGAGCCTGCGCAGAAATCCTCGTCGCTGCACGGGATCAGCTGGAAAACCAGCGTTGGGTGTCACGGCCCCTGCGTGGAGATGCTTTTCTTTATGGTGGCTTTGCCCCTGGCGTTGCTTTATTGCTGCGGGTTCCTCCACATCGGTGCGAGCGGTTGCGTAAGGCACCGGCCCACGCGTTGCACAACTCCAGCTGCCCCGGTGCCTGGCAGCCCGGCGCAGGCGGGAGGGGAGGGTCCCGGCAGTGAGGACGGGGCTCCGGGCGCTCCCGGGACGCGGCGCGGGGTCCCGTTGTGCTGCTCCGGAGGGGGGTTGCTGGGATGAGTGCTGGTGTGTGAGATCCCCAGCTCTCGCCTCTCTGGCTGCAGAAATTGCCCCAGGGTGATGGTGCAGGAGCGCGGGGCACCCTCTCCCCGCTGGCTTGAGCGTGGCTGTGGCGTGTGCGCCGTATCCCCGGCTCCTTCCAGCCCTGCTGGGGGAAGGTGAGCGGGTGCTGAGCTGCTCTTCTGTTCCGCTTTCCTTCCCCAGCCTCTCCGAGTGAAAGTGTCTGAGCAGCTCCTGGCTGAGATCGGTGAGTGAGGGGCTCCCAGGTCGTGTGCCGCGGCCCGGGGCCTGCTGCAGCACCCGCGGCGCTGGCACCTTCACCCTGGGCAAGGGCTGCCAAAGCGGGATCCCACAGGATTTCTGCAGGACTCTGCCTGTTGCCCTCTTAGAGGGCCGAGGTTTGGGACTGGGGCTCCTGAGCCCTTCCCCAGCTCTGTCCCGGGGGGTCTTGTTATGGGCAGGTGTCTCAGCCTGGGTGTGCAAAGTGGGAGAGAGGCTGTCCCAGGCTGGAAGCCAGCTAGCCAGGGGGCTGCGCTGTGGCAGGGGGAGGCTTTGTCGTCTCCCTGCCTGCCCAGCTCTGCCCAAGGGCCTGTGGCTGCCAGAAGACCCCTCGTGCCCTTCCTTGCGCGGTTGGTGACACCGACTCTCCTCTCCCATCCCCAGAGACGCGCCTGCGGAATGGGGACGACGTCCGAGCCGCCCTCTTCGAAGCTCAGGAGATGGTGATGCCCGAGATCCAGGAGCAGATCCAGGACTACAGGTAGCGCTCGGGCGCCCCGCAAAGCTCGATGGGCTCCTGCCCCCGCGGGTGGCCGGTGCCTGGGCTGGTGGCCCTGACCTGGGTCCTCCGCAGAACAAAGCGCACCATGGGCCTGGGGAGTCTGTACGGGGAGAACGACCTCTTAGACCTGGACGGGGACCCCCAGAAGGAGCGGCAAGTGGCCGAGAAGCAGCTGGCCCAGCTGGGCGACATACTGTGAGTGCTGGGCTGCCGTGGAGGCTCCCTGCCCTGCCCGCGGGGGAGCGCCTCTCTGCCTGGATTGGGGACGAGGGCGTGGGGAAGGGGATCGGACACAGGCTTAGCTCTGCTCCTTGACCCTGCTTGATCCACACGTTTGCCATCGGAGGCGGGAAGGAGTTTGGAGCAGGCGCTGGGTGCGGTGAGGGGTGGGGGGCACGGTGGGAGCTGCGAGCGCCCTGCCGGGGGGCTGAGTAGAGGAGCCTGTTCCAAAGAAGCTCATTTATCCCTCCCCATCTCTCTCACTCCAGGTCAAAATATGAAGAGGACAGGAGGTGAGTGGCCCTGGGGCACAGGGAGGGCGTGTCCAGGTGCGACTGCCTTGCAGTTGTTGGCTGAGGAGGCAAAAGGAGAGGAGCTCCTTCCCGTGCTGGCCTCCGGCACCTCCTCCCTGTGCCAGCCGTAGCCCCGTGGGCTCTCCGGCTGGCCCTGGGCAGGCTGAACGCTGACCTCGGGGTCCTGGTGCACCAGGTGCAGCCCCCTGCCATCCCCTGCCGCCCCAGCTCGCCCTCTTGAACTGCCTCTTGCCTTTCCTCCCTTCTCCCTTGTCCCCACCTGGGCATTGTCTCCTGGCTGGGGGCGGGACGGACCCTCTCTCCCCCTCAGGAGCCCCATGGAATGTCCCGCCTTGTCTCCCCTGGTGCTGGAGCTCCAGCCTCCCGCTTTCCTCTCTTCCAGCTCCCCCATGGCCTTTGCCCTCAGCACGTATATGAACCACACAGGCATCCGCAGCCGGGAGCCCCGGGTGGCCGGCACCGGCGAGAAGGCCCAGTCCCTCCCGGACAGGGACAAGTGGCTGCCCTTCTTCCCCAAGACCAAAAAGGTGGGTGGCTTGCTGGCGGCCTCTTCTCTGCCCCAGGGCTGGGCTCTTGCTGCTGGGTCTTTTGAGGTCACCCAGGGTGGGGTTCTCCAGAGATTTCCATCTCCCCCCTCAGGCCTTGGAGAGCCACGTAGCGCCAGGGCAGAGCCGGATTGCGGCCCCATCCCTTCCCCGATGGCTCATGCTGGCACGTTGAAGGTCGGGGTCCCCCTCGGGGCCCGCGTGGTGACGTGTGTGTTTGTTGGGTGTCCCAACAGAGCAGCAGCACGAAGAAGGACAAGGATGCCATGGAAGATAAGAAGCGCAACCCTATCCTCAAGTATATTGGGAAGCCCAAAATCTCCTCCCAGAGCAGTGAGTATCGGGGCCTTCTGGGGTGCTGTACCCCTAGCCTCCCTGCTGCCTGGATGAGATCTGCAGCCGTCTGCGTGCCCGGGGCCGTCAGGGGGCCGGTGGCACCAGTGGGAATCACC